CCTCCTCCTCCTTTACCTCTTCTTCCTCCTCACCTCCTCTTCCTCCTTCTCACCTCCTCTTCTTCCTCCTCCTCCTCCTCCTCAGCTGCTCTTTCTCCACTGCCTGGTAACTGTCTTCCATGACTTGTCTAGTGCTGCCTCCCCTATGGGATGGATGCTCTGAAGTAAGGACTAGTGCCGTTCGGTGCTTAGCAAGTATTTGTTGATATCTGCATGCTTTCAGAAAGCAGTATTTTCCAGGGGTGGCAGAGCAGGTGGCTTTTGTTCCCTATAGGTAGACTGAGACTAGCTCCCTAAGATAAGATCACCTCCTACATTGGGAAGGTGTGAATGTGACTGTTGTTCAGAAAAAGAGTCCTCGCAGGCACAATGAATGTTAAGGATCCTGGCACAGAGAGATCATACTGGGGATTCTAGGTGGCTCCCTAATCCAATCACAAGTGTTCCTATTAGGTGGACATAGATTAGATTTATCCCTGAGAAGACAGAATCAGGGCTCAGAGAGATGCAGCCATAAGCCAAGGACAGCCAGTAGCCCCCTCAGCTGGAAGAGGCAGGGAGGAAGCTCCCCCGGAGCCTTCAGAGCAGCACAGTCCTGTCCAGGCCTTGGTTTGGGGCTTTTGTCTTTAGAATTGTGAAATAGTAAGTTCCTGCTGTTCCCAGCCACTCCCTTTTAATAGATTGTTACAGCACACAAGAAACTAACACAAAAGGAATGGCCAGGAGTCTGATAACGATTCACTTTACGTTTTACAAATTGCCACTGAGGTTGAGCACATTTTAATTTATATATAAACTATGTAGGTTTCTCGTCAGTTTAGTTCCCTTTAAACCACACCTTTATTGAGATAGAATTTCTGTACCATGCGACCTATCTGTGGAGGGCTGTCAGCTCCCTGGTGGGGAACATGGGCCTCCTCAGTGGCCGTGTCCTGTCTAAGGTTCTTTTTTTTTCAGTTATAACCATCAATATATTTTTAAAAATTTTTTTAAATTGAGAAATAAATATGAATGAGACAGTTTCACAGCTGATTAATAGGACAGTTTTGATAATCAATACACTGTACCTTGTTATCTTCTTAGTGGTTAT